CCCTCATATAATAATTCAACTTTATGCGCAAATCCTTTTTTTTTTTTTTTTTTTGACTTTTATCTAATTTAGTCACCGCACGTATGAGATATGATCGTTGAGCGTCAAGGTATACGATCAGTAATACAATTACGTGGCTGATTTAAAATGCTTTTCGCAATAAAACGTTTTATATATAAAACCAAATAAGTCTTGTTATTGAATCTTTAAAGTTGTGAATGCGAACTCGTAGGTAAGTTATTTTCAAAATCCAGGAAGCTGATAATTTTAATGGACCAGAATATTTTTCTTGAAAATACGAGCGCATGTGGAAGTTCTGCTTGCGGAAAGTCATAACGTAGAAGTGTGATTGACATTTAGGGAGTCGATATGTGGACATGTTATGTGGAATGAAAATGATGAATATGATGATGAATTGGATTTTTGGAGATTAAAGGTGAAGGTACTCGAAACCTGGCCTGAAATTTCGTACGTTTAATGGTTTTGATGGTCAGTAGTTAGTAGTACAACACTACATCTAAAATATAGGATATCTGTAGATTTGTATATTTACAATGATTAATAAAAAATAATCATATAATATAACATACTGTATATCTATTAAGTTTTTATTTTCTAATATTCAGAGAAATTTAAGGTTTTTTTTAGAAAGGTATTTTTATTATTTAAATATTAATCTTGATTTTATTAAATAATAATAATAATAATAAAGAATAGAGCTTATTCAATATTTAAATAAATTTTTTTCTTATTTAAACATGATTTTCTTTTTTAAACGTGTTTTTTCAAATAGTTCAATTAATTGAAAAAGCCTTGTATGATATTAGTTTATTACAGATTCATACTATTACAATAATTAGTAATTTTTATTTTAAAGTAAAAAAAAGAAAAAAGTTTTTTTTAAATTTTCTTTATATGAATTAATTTAGAATTTTTAAATGTTTGTATTTAAATATTCAACTTCTAATTTCAAATTTTTCTTTTATAATAAATTGGGTTAAAAACACAAGTGTCAAATTTGTTTTTTTAAAAAAAACCAATATATTTAAATTTACATCCTTCCATTTTTTTAATATACTCTTTATAAAGCTGTAACCTAAATTTATTTCAAACAAAAATATGTTTATATGATTAGAATTGGTAAAATATGATTTTTTTTAAAACAAAATATTTTGTATTTTACATTATCGTATAATCTAAAGCCTTTAAAATATACAGTATGTATAAAGAATTATCTCATATAATCGGAATATTTGAAACCATTCTAAAATATATTCACGATTTTTCTATTATTAACATTATTACTAGAAGGACACTCGTTCTATTAATCTCGATCATGGATCATGCGATCATATGACAATTTAAGGTTTCGTCCCGAGTTTTCTTGCAAAATGTAACTTAAATCAGGATCATCTCAACATCGATCCAATAAAAGCGCGTCGAAAAATTCGGGCTCACGTACGAGTACATACATCCGAGCTTAATATAGCATATAGAGCATGCATTGTGCACTTTCTTAGCGAAGAAATCTGCAAATTATACACGCAATGTTAAATCTTGTAATAGATCGTTCGTTCGCAAAGAAGTTGATCAATTTTCTTCACGCGCATGTAATCTTTTTTTATGTTCGTACCCAAACAAATAACCATCTATATTGCTTTTCTGTAATTTACTAATTTACGCAAAGCAGAAATGTCAATAAACCCTGAACATTTTTTCGCATATAAATAGAACACCTCTGTTCTCTATTAGAATATGATCAAACTTTTTGATCATGGCTTTGGTTACGTACGATAATCAGATGGCAAATTTTTCGATCCTTGTGACTATCATGATTTTCCTGATATTTGGTAACACTCATTCATTACCTATATTGACAAAGCGAGGTGACTTGTCGAATGAGAAATTCTCATTGCCGGCAATGCAAAATTTCTCCGGAGATGCAACTTTTTATGATGTAGGACTGGGATCATGCGGGAAAGTTAATAGCAACGATCAGCTGGTAGCTGCCATTTCACATGAGTTATACGACTCATTCCTTCCGCCCGATAGAAACCCTAATAATGACAAATGTTGCGGACGACGAGCAGAAGTTACTCGTGGTAAGAGATCGGTGAAGGTCTTCATCGTAGATCGGTGTGGGAGTTGCGATTTTGGAAGTATAGGTGCGTGAATTGAGTTATAGTAATACAGTTACAATCGTGCTTTCATTATGATTTCTGCTTGAATCTTCCAAGTTTACAAATTTTTTATGAAAATTTAACAAACAGATCTCTCTCCGGCTGCCTTCAACTGCATCGCGCGCCCTGAAGAAGGCAATGTTCACGTGACATGGCGGTTTATCTGATATTAGCTTCACTCATTGCACTGGAACTCTTAGCATATGCATTTTCAAACTTTATGATTACGTTATAGTTTTGTTGACCATAATAAACCTGATGTTATCATCTCTTCGAGTTATTTTGCAATTGGTATGAAGAAAATTAGAGAATGTTCATTCGATGAGCCTCGATGGATGAATGACTCTATCGTTTTTTCCCATTTATATTTGTAATAATGTCTGTCTTAAATCTGTGCACACTATCATCACCACCTTTGTTTATTTAAATTAAACTTAGGCATTGAGGATCCTATGAACCATCACAATAAAAAATTTTTTTGATTTTCCGCTTTCTTGATTGACAACTTTAATTTGCCCCTAGTCACTTCAACTGAGCGTTAAATGCGAGTGTTAATAAACTGCAAGGTTTGGAAATGATGGTCAAATAGGCACAGTTATAAAGAAGATACCTTAAACAGACACGATTGAGTATCGTCGTTCTACTTTTGCCTCTTGGAATGACGTCTGCCGGTCTTCCGGGCATGTACCTTGGCAGGTTTCTGAGATTGATAGATGGCTGAGATACGGGCCAATGCTTCCTAATTATATGAAGATCAATGAATAATTATTATGTGCTTCTGGTCTGAAGTCGCGATTCATATATATTAAAGAAAGCGACTCTGGTACACGGAAAAATTTTTATAGCAATTCCAAATGTACACCCATCTTTCACACTATCACATAATTCACATGGGCTCTAGCAACATTGCAAATTCTACATTCCAAGATCGAAACGCCATAAAAAGGAAAAATTACAAGTGAACCAACCTTGCGCAAATCAGGACGGTATCCAGCACGGGTGTATAAA